TACTGTACCTACAGTAAGAACCTCCTGAAAACCTAAGCATCTATTTACTGTGTCCAAACTTTGTGCCTCTGTCGTCTTTTTTTACTCAGGCTCTCTGTGCTGGACCACTGGCCTTCATGGGACCTCCTTCTCTCCTCTGGATCTCGGTGCCTCATTCCAGATATTTGGGTCTGAATCCTCATCCTCCCAGCCCCCACCCCACATCTCTCTGCTTAATCCCTTGTGTTCATATTGTTTGAATGCCCGGGGTATGCCTCTTGTGTGTTTGTATAGTCTTCCTTTCTTCCAGGTCTTTGTCTGCAGGGGAGGTCATGTGACTCTGGTGTGACTGTACCTGGATGTTGCTTGATGTCCTCCTTTATTATGTTCTTGTTTACAATACAGTTTTCATGTTGATTGTTTATATTGTGAATCCCCTATGTACGTATTCTGTGCACACCACTTCTATTGCTTGTCTATCTATCCCTCCTCTTTTGCTCTTCCTGGGGTTTCTTCCATATTTTCACCCTTAAAGACTTTTTGGGAGTAGGTTTTTCCTGATCCAAGCTGAAGCTCCAAGGACAGATGTCATATGTTGTACAGGTTGGAAAGGCCCTTGAGGCAAATTTGTGATATTGGGCTGCACTATAAATAAAACTTGACTAATCAAAATGTTTTTTTTTTCTAGTTGAACTTTGTTTACAGCTTAACACAGAACAACATACTGGTACAACAGATTTAGAAAATATTCTTCACTTTTATAAGAAATGTGGAGGGGGAGTAAAGTTGTTTGGCAAAGGCGACACTAAGTCAAGTTTGGCTCAAGTTGCTAGACTACAAACTTCAACAATGCCAAAAAATTAAATTAAAAAAAGAATAAAGACTATAGGGGAACTGTTATCATTACTCCAACCTCTGATATACTGGCACTAGCACACAGTCCTGAGCAGGTATTTTTCTATAATCCCATAATGCATTTAGCTACTGACATGCCTGCTGCCTTTGGAAATAACACCTGCTACTGTACATAGTAAGCTAGTTAAGCATGCATTCTAAGGTTTGTGGCTGCTGTTAGAGCGGCACAGTTCACCCATCCCTTATACTTGTGCAGATGTGCTTTTGATTTTGCAAACTAGATAAGAAAAGACATCTCCCTCTAAACTCTTTAGACACTGAGTATCATTTTTGAAACAGTCCTGTCAACACCACTTCAACATTTTGAGAAATCCAAAGTTTGACAGGCTTGTTATGCCAAGCTACAGTTTCTGCTGTACTGTAAATGCCTATTAACTCACCAAATGTGTATTATTCCATGACTAACACGAGTCGTCAAAAAATACACGGTGTCTGAGTAATGTCAACAGTGCAAAGTTAACTGCAGTACCAAGTTGTAGGAAACTGAACATGGAGAAATCCAAAGATTGACAGGCCTGTCATTCTAACAGTAGCTATTGTTGCTAAGATACGACTGGATCATGAGGGACTAGTTAGAGATGCCATATGAGAACAGATTGAGAAGCAGCCTAAAGTTGGAGACTAACAACAACATACCAAGGTAGAGTAATAATCCCCAAAAACAAAAAGACAAATAATCAATAGTAGATCAACACCTGCAACTTTTGACCACAGCTGTCTATATATTTTGGGACAGCCGATCACCCATAGCCCAAACCAGGTGTGATCACGGCGTGTTCCCTCAATGAGAGGAAGTGCAGCATCACCATCTATAGGCCAGAGGAGCAACAACACGCTCCAGAGCTGTAACAGCAGCTGCCTTTTACACAGCGCCTGCCCAAGCTGTAGACACACACTGTGCCCACAAACATTGCTTTCAGAATCAATTACTCACACACCACAGGTCACACAACAGTTCATTACCGTTTAATTACCAGTGAATGTTCAATAGTGAGCCCATTGCAGGGGAAAGTTTCAACCTCACTGCCAAGACAACAGAAGAAAAAATATGATGTTTTAATGATACTATTAAATATGAGCAAGAGATGAGTACAAAAAAAAATAAAGCCGATTACAGTGAGCTGTTGGAAATAAAATGGAGGGGAAAAAGTGGCAGGGAGAAAGTTTTGACATCAGTGTTACTAACAATGACGCTGTCTTCTAATTGTATTGATCATGTTTTATCCCATGACCCTGACTCACCTCATTTATCTCAGTGATCCATAATATTATGATTCCTGTTAAAGTCAGTTTACCAGCACAATATTTAAAAACAGAATAAATAGAGAAGCTGCAGAGAAGACTCGTACAGGTTGTTCAGCTTTGCATTCCCTTCAATTGCAATTCACTACAGAGACCGTCTGCAGTGATTAAAGTTAATTAGGTCACATCTTTCTCCCGGGCAGTGATACCAGTAGAAACACTTCCAAGTACATGCATGTGAAATCCTAGTTGAGTAAAGGTAGAGAAGATTTAGCAGCAAAATGTACATGAAGTATCACAAGAAAAATAGTTGTTCTGCACAAAATGAGTGCTGTAACTGACACTGTATATGATACCATTTGATTAATACAGATGAATCAGTGCATAAGCAAAATGTTGTAACCAAGTATATTTACTGTGGTACAGTTTTGAGCTATCTGTATTTTGAGTATTTTATTTAGCTGCTACTTCTTACTTCACTACATTTTAGAGGCAAATATACTTTTTATTTCACTATTTTTATAACTTTAGACGCTGGTTATAATCAGAACCCAGTTAGTAAAAAAAAAAGAATAATAGGATAAGACTTTATTAGTTTCTGGTGGAAAATTCACAAGCTACCCAACAAAGTACTTTAAGTGCAACATTAAATGTGATGTATACAATAATGTATCAGTAATAATAATCCAATATAACTAATGGATTTATGAAACATGTCACAAGTAGAGTTTGTGAGAACTTAAAAAATTAAAGTGTTGGAGTGTTTAATTTAATGTTGAAACAGTAAAAACTAAAAATAAAATTCATTCTGAAATGTACTGAAATAAAAACAGAAATACAATCACACATGGATCAACCTGCTACCATTAACACTTAAACGCAAATAAATGTATATGTTCATGAGTAATGTCCAGTTTTTAAAAACCTAGAGCAAAGTGCCACAGACAGGCTAAGGATGATGGAAATCCAAGTTGGTCGTCTCATTCTTTGTGGGATTTGTTAATAATAAAAACCTTTAGTACAACGTCCTACAAACAACATTTATTAATCATAAGTGTTTCCACATTTATCTTTTATCTCTGTGCAGCATGCAACAAGCAGAATGTGGGAAATCCAGGTTCGATGGAGCAGAATTATCAGTTCTCTTTTGATAGGAAGACTGAATTATTCTGACAATCGCTATTACTTGGTACTGCTGCAGGGAAGAGAAAGTGGCAGATCAGGCTCATAACAACCCTGGTAACTTAGTGATTAATTCAGTCATTATGTACAATGAGAAAGGCTGTTACTTGTCATTGCAGAGGCATGTTTGTTTGTTGGATGCTTGCATATCAAGATATTTTGCATCAAATAGATTAAAAACATGCAGAAAGAACTGTAAAACAAAAGACGCATACGAGGCTGAAAGCCATAAATCAAGCATTAGACAAAGTGTCAAAATGTTGAATTATTTCAGAGAACGCTGCATGTTTGATCACAGCTTTGAATCTTCCATGAAAGTGCATTTGCTTCTTCAAACGCTCCCTGCAGAGTGTGGTCTCACAGTGAAAAATAAGAGAGAGCGACAAGAGAAAGTTGGCTGGCAAGTACTCCCCTGGAGTCTTTTGCAACACACAGCCAGGATGGCCATATTGTGTGTCTAAACAAATCGAATGGTTGGCACTGTGACAAGCCAGCCTCTGTGGTGTTCAGATTCACTGAGTCAGCACGACTGTGCTCCTTCATTCCCAGGTCACTACATGCAGCAGTCAGCAGGGAACCTCAGTCATCTTTACTCTACTGCTGGATGGCAATTGTCATTAGTTGTTTGGCTTAGAGCTGAAAAAGTAAATCAAGAAGCACTGATGATTTTGTCTTAAGTTTTTAAAGTAACTGCAGTCTGGCTGCAGCCACTTCCAGTTAACTACGTTATAGTGTGACTACATACTCCTGCTGGGTTGAGGCTGGGCACTATTTATATTAATTTAAAGAATTGGCATTTATCCACAGATTAAAGATTTTACTAAACAGATCTGTCTGTTGCAGGAGCTTCACACCAGACACACACAACATGCACTTGCTAAACTCATTCTTTAAATGGTTCATTTTTCAAGAGAGGCGATGTTGATGTACTGCTGTAATCTTATTTAATCTAAAGCAAATACTAAATGGTGCTCAGCTGAACAAAGAGGCTAGCTTGTATAATTAGATACAAGTTAAATACATAGCAAATTAATATAAACTCCAGACACAATCCATTTCAAGTCATTGTTTAACACTGGTTCAGATCCCTATAAACAGCCGGTTAGGGTGACACAAACCAGGCAACCATCCTGCATTCATTCTACTCAGACCCTCTCACTAATGCTGCTTTCCCACCAAAAGTACCCTGTATACATGTTTTTTATGCCCAGCTAAACTGGCCTTTAACTGGCTTCTGGAAGCGTTCCCACTGAAGACTTATGGAATTTGTGGCTGAGACACTGATGACATTGCGTACATTTGTCGGTTTAGCAAAGTTTGGTTTTGCCATTGTTTCCAAGCCGAGGTGAGGCGGATAACGAACTGTGTCGATTGCTGAATCATTTGTCCCAATAGTTGCATTCCCTCTCCCGTCAAAAACCAGAGGCGTGGCAAGTTTACATGGGTTTTTGGGCAGTGGGAAAGGAGTTTATGGCAGCAAGAACACCCCACAAAAATGGCCCATACAATTGTATCAGTAGAAGGTACACCACATTATCACAATAGATCTGGGAAAACCAGCAATTAACTTTTTTAGCAGCCTGTCCTTGGATACTGAATGAACCAAAGCGTATATTAGACTAAATACAAAAGAAACATGGCAAACATTTAACAAAAATACCAAAGTAAAATATATTACACACCTCGCTGAAATGGGCCACAGGTTCCTCTTCAGTCAGAGACAAGCAGGTGACTGGAATCTACACATTATAAAAGAGTACAGATTAATAATGTATCACAAAGATTAAAACAAAACATTTAAAAGCCACCACTACACTTGAGCATACCTTATTTCTTGGTTGGCATAGCCAAACAATTGACTGGAAGTTTCAGTCACCCAACGTTAAGAGTCTAAAAGTACAAACATTTTATTTCATACTATGAACTACAAGCAACATTTAATTGCTCCACAATTTGCGTTTTAAATCCTGCTTAAAATCAGCCTATCAAATAAAACAATAAAACAAAGGTTGGCTCCAGCTGCTACTTCTCAGCTGTGCCTTCAACCAGGAAGAAAGGGCCTGATCAGCTTTCAGCCCCTTTTCATAGACTCCGCCCCTGGACTCGGGCCTAGGGTTAGCCTTACTGTTGCCTTCTCCTCTGCAGAAATACTACAGATGCAACTAACTGTTGTTTTAAAGTATCAATTTATTTGTCAAATGTTCTCTTAATTAACTGTTTGAAATGTTTTAAAATAGTGAGAAATAATTTCTCAGACATCTTCAAATGTCTTGTCTTGCCTTCTTAGACCAAAGGTTATCTTTAACTGCCCTCCCAAATGACACATAGGTGTGGCGTCTGATCTGACGCCTCTATCAGCAGGACGACATCGTTTTGTTGACCCGTTCACCCACCTCAGCCTCCTCCTTCTACAAACTTTATCATAATGTCACCCGACTCCCTCTTTTATCACTGATGGACAAGAATCATAATGCCTTTGGTAAAGACATGTTATTTTGGGTACTTGCTGAGAAGACTGATGTTGCTGTGTTTCTTGTGAGGACAGTCTGAATAAATACTACCTCTGTGTAATGTGTGATTGGTCAAAAAGGGTCAAGACTTGGGCTGTGTTATACAGAAGTGTATATTTTTCTGGTCATTGGTATATTTACTAGTGAATAGGTACAAACTGTACACACTAAAAAGGATACCACATAAAGGCATTCATATTGTCACAGATACTGTGTATACTCCAGTATATAGCCACATAAAGCTGTACTCTCTAAAGGTTTCAGAAACCTGTCTGTGTGTAGGACAGAAATGGCTCTTCTCTCTGGGGCGAGGAATGTCTGTTTTTTTACAACGGTGCTGTAAAACAAACATCTTTGTGACACACATCTAAACAAACTGCATGTACACCCCACATACATTCCTACACTCACAAAGACTTGACAGCCTGAGACACACACATCTGTTAGTGACTTCCACAACAGCCCTTTGCAAGCAAATAAAGGGTATTAGTGTAAGAGCTGGAAAACCTGTGACACCTCCAGTTATATGTCACACAGTCAAACTCTGGGGGTAAAAACCTGTCCAGTGGAAGATAAAAGAATCGATAGAAAAGAGACAGTGAAAAGGGAGCGAGATGAGCCACCTAGTGCCGTGTACCACTCAGATGCAAGCAGGCTAATTGCTCAGGGACCGGTGTGAGGCAACGGGATGACGAGCATTAGCAGCTCTGATCGATTGTTTGAAGCTCTGATGATATATAACGTAGTTTGTGTGTGTAGTCGGGGGGAGTGGCACACATGTGGCCCACAGGGATGATACAACTGATCCGATGAGCAGCACAGTGAAAGTCAGATTATTTTTTTTACATAGTGTAAGTAAAAGCAGCAATACCGCATGTGAAATTACACTGCAAGCCAATCCTGCATTTGAAATCAGCTGGTTTGTTTAATAATGGATCCAATGTATGATGTGTAAGGTGTTGCTAGTAGTAACAAATCCACAGAGTTATCACTGTTCTCATCAGCTGAACAGAGCTTTAAAAAACTCAACACAACTTCCTGTAGTGTGTCCTCTCTCTCTCCTCGTACCTTTCTGCAGGTAGCCCTGGCTCTGGATCTGTACGTTTCAAATAAGCAGTCACCAGCCATATCAACCTGTCCAGCATTTGTTGTGTCTTGTTGCTTTCTTAACTCCTCTCTCCCCTCTATCCACTCACTCCAACCGGTTGAGGCAGAAAGCCGTCCACCAAGAGTCGAGGTCTGTGGGAGGTTTCTTCCGTTAAAGGAAGTTTTTCCTCCCCATTGTTGCCAAGTGCTTGCTCAAGGGGGATTTGTTGGGTTTTTCTGCTTCTGCACTGGTGATCGCAGCGGCCGGAGGCCTACCTTATTAAGTAAAGCGCCATGGGACAAATGTCATTGTGAATTGGAACTATACAAATAACACTGAACTGAATTGAATTCAGTTATGTTTTCAGGTTGCCCGTCTGTTTGTTCGGTCCATTCT